CGATAATGAACGAGGTTGCGCTGTAATTGCTTATGAAATTTTTATATAAACTTTATGAACTTTCCTAATTATCTTTATATTATTTTTAATTTTGAAATTATTTTTAGCTTATTCCAAAAATCAATGAATGTGTCAAAGCTCTGGAAGAAAATCTGTACGAAGTAGCTAAAGATGGTAAACCTGTTAACTGTACTCAGTAAGTTCTTTTATTTATAACAATAATTTATTAATAAATATTACAATAATAACTCGCAATACTAATACTTTATCGTGTTTTTATATAACAGTTAACATTTTTGAAATGATAAACAATGAATATCTTGTATATTTTCATATAGAATTTTACGTCTAAGAATTCAAAACTTTGTAATATTGCATCACAAGCACACGCACACACAGATACAAAAAATATGTGTTATAAGTTGTATAGCCTTTATTGCATATTGTAAAATAAATATGATTCACGCCGAATAGCGAAATGGTTAAGGCATCTGTCTACCGCTCTGATAGATTTGAGAATGAAATTCAGGCGAGTGACCCGAGAAAATTTGTGTGGGTGGCCGGGATTTGTCTTTTACCATCCGCCTATCTATTGTAGGCTGGTTTCTGTTAGGCTCATAATGGGATGGAAACACGATTAAAAAAGTCTTTTTTAGTATCCGCAAGTAGAAAGGAGTTAAAAAGGAAACATAACTGCATTTTGCCATCGTTGTAATAAATTAAGAATAACAGACAATAAGGAAAAAATAAAGAATCTCGTCTTTTTGAGAGACGCGCGTTATCAAGCCGATGTTCTTTCCAATTATTGGTAGGAATCCATCAGTTGCAATATTAATCAATAATTCAATCATTTATTAACCTGAAAACCTCGCTACGGATTTCAAAAAAGAGTTGATGAAAGTTCTGAAGCCCAACTTCTTAGTACTTTCATTAACCCTTCTTTGAAATCTGCACTAGTTTTTTTATTTTTACCATTCATATCCTCTAACTTTTTAATTATTTGAAATTCATACCTCAAAGGAAGATAACCAGTTGAGCTATATCAGAAAACAGCATGAAAAACGTCTTGAAATGTGATGCTCTGAATTTTAAGATATCTTCAATATTTATTGGCATGTCATCAAATCTTCTACCCATAGTAAATCTCGACTAGGTAATTTTCGAAATAAACTTTTTTCAGGAAATAATACATTAACTACAGCTTCAAGGCTTTCGTTCACTATATCGCATTACTAAAGGGCTTCATACAATTTGACAGTATTTTGGAAACCAAATAACCGGCATCCACCGAAATGTCCGCCTCGGTAGTGGCTTCTTGAAGAGACTTAATTGGCTTACAAAACGTTTTTCAGATTCCTGCATCTTAACATTCCGCATCTGGCCTGAAAGATACCATATTTTAATTCATGCATACTTTGTATTGTGACATCGGTTGACATTACATTTTTCAGGACCATTGCAATCTCGAAACCCACCTACTGCTTAATTTGCATGATGAACCCAGTACTTTAGGCTTTTCCTCTCTTAGATCATGTCCAAATGTCTGGAAGTTCGGGGTGTAAAAATTTAAAAATGGTATATACAGAAAAAATTAAATACTTTATATATACAGTTAGTTTATAGATCAGGGCTTTATAGGTTATACTCATAATTATATGATACATATAATTTTTAAGAACTGTTAAGCAGACTATGAAATTTCATAATAAAAGATAAAAAGCTAATAAAGATTCTTTGGTTAGGCTAGTGATANAGATGCGGTTTAATCAAACATATTTTTAGACCCATTAATCTCAGAAGAGGAGTGACCTAATTCTTGCACACGGTGAAAACGGGTAAGATCGACTATATAAATATAAAGTTTATCTTACGTAAGGATTTCTCACACCGAGTGCCAATCTAACACATTTTTAAAATTCTTTATTCGTCTACTGTACGCAATTTAAAGAATTTTTTTAGATTTGTTAGATTGGACATTCGGTGTGAGAAATCCTTACGTAAATATAAAACCTTTGCAAATATAAATCAAATACTATAATATAATATAGTAAAAAGGTAAGAAGTACCAAATAATCTAATAATCTTAATCTTTGCTGTTGTTATTTTTTACCCGAGCAAAGCCTGGCTCATCTGCTAGTTTAAATTACATTCTATATTGTAGTTTATTTGAAAATTACACTGTCAAACAAAAAATGTTTTTGAATTTTTCCTTTATTTCACGAGTGAAATCTTACTAATTTTGGGGTGAGAAAATCGAATAGGACAAAGAAAAATTTTTATTAGCTCTAGTTTCTGTGATATACAATAGATGGCAGTATGTGATTTTAACGGCTTAAGAGAAAAGAAACATTTTAATTACATATGCCGACAACGTTGAAAGTACTTTTGAATTTTTTTAAAAATTACAGTTACATTTTAAGAGTTCTAAATTGATTCTAACCCTGGCAAGTAGTTCGATGTGAAGAGAAGCATGAGGTGACTTCATTCTCTTGTAAGTGAGTTCCGGTGCATCCCTACTCACAGAACAGCTGTAATCCGCAAGCATTACTTCATTCCAACGGCCCTGATATCTTTGGAACAGAAATATCCTGGTGGAATCTTTCTCCATGTTCATCACTGACAGCTTCACAACTAGGAGGAAAAGAGTCTACGTGGGAGTGGAGAAAATGGATTTTAAGGGACATGTTGCATCCGAGATGAATGTGTTTTTCCAGAAGTACTGTCACCGAATGTAGTTATCATCTCTTTTGTTGCCTAAGAATCCACGAATAACTCCCTTTAAGGCTTCCCAAGCTTCCTTTTCTTTTCCCTCCAAAACTCGGTCAAACGCAGGATTCTTTACAAGTTGCCGAATTTGTGGCCCAACAAAAGTACCTTCCTTAACCTTTGCATCACTTAATGTAGGAAATTTGTCTCTTATCTCTTAAGTACTTAAATGCCTGTCCTTCCTGGTTCATACCTTTGACATAAATTTTCGTTAAACCCAGATTGATATGAAGGGGTGGAAGAAGAACATCTTTTGGGTCCACGAGAGGCTCGGCAACGACGTTTTTCTCGGTAGAGTCAAGATTTCTTGCAGGCCAGTCCGCTTGAATGTAATGTGATTTCCTATCCCTACTGTTCCACATACATAAAAAGCAACAGTATTTAGTGTACCCCAGTTGCATTCCTAAGAGTACATCGATGACTTTTAGATCGCCCCAGATTTTCCACTTGTGTTCAGCATATTTGATTGAGTCGAGGAGGGCTGTCATGTTTGCATAAGTCTCCGTTATGTGAACAGCACGACCAACAGGAATAGAAGGAAGACGGTTGCCGTTGTGAAGTAATACAGCTTTCAAACTAAGCTTGGAGGAGTCTATGAATAGCCTCCATTCACTTCGATCATGGTTCAAACATTTCATCAAGCCATTAACGTCGCAGCAAACAACCAGATTGTTTTTCTTCTCAAAAGAAGGAGGCAGATCTTTCTGACGTTCTCTGTACTGTGAGACCCTGACATCACATTGGAGAAGATTCCATTGCTGTAGTCTTGACCCTAGAAGTTCCGCCTTATTCTTTGACAGGTCTAGGTCTCAAATGAGATCACTCGATTCCGCTTGACTCAGTCTGTGTGGTGTATCATCTTTTGCCTCAAAATCAGGGTCATGGAATGTGAAAGGCTTGTTGGGTTCTTCTTCTCCCACACTTTCTTTATTTTCTACTTCAAGCTCATAATGTTGGGATGGAGTAGGAACTGGTAAACTATCTGAATGTGGAATAGGTCAAATAGCAGGTGGAAGATTTGGATATTGAACTGTTCCTTTTTTATTTATTGACAATCCTGCCTTTATAGGAGGAGTCAAGCAGAAATAGCAGTCATCTTTATGGTTTGTAGGCTCCCGCACAGCAAAAGCCATAGATCGTTTTTTATTTTTCAGCCATTCTCGTAGTATAACTGAACAAGAATTGCAACATACTATGTATGTGGAGCCCATGACTTATCCTGGTCCCCTACCTTCATACCAAAATAATGGTGATAGGCAGTCTTCACAAGAGGCGTCAGATTGCGTTTCTGTGACGAAAATATTATTTCACCACAAATATCACAAAAATTGTTCACTAAATTTACACATTTTCGTGGCATTTTGGTATAATCAGTATTACACTCCAAAACCAGGAATTCTGTAAAAAGAAAAACAGAAGCAACATTAAACTCAGAGTCATAGATACATTTATTATGTTTATAATCTACAAACATATGGATAACGTTGTGCTATGCCAGTTGGAAGGTGTGACAACTCCCAAAAAATAAATTTTTCCCAAAATAAAATGTAGACCCTAAAAAAGGACATGTTAATGTATCTCCAAAGCAAGAGCTAAACGATCATTTTTATGGTGATTTTTGAATTTAACAGATGGAAATACATAAGAATACGCTAATTTTGAGCCCGAAACACTTTCATTGTTGTGCAGTGTTATCTGGACTTTTGTTTGAGAGGAGAGAAACTCGCTTTTTTTCAGCTTTTTAAATAATACTTTTAATTAAATTTTGTTGAATGTTTTCTAATTTTATTGTTATTTTTTAAATATAATATATAAATAAATATATAAATGATTACAATCTAAATAGAATCCTTATAACATCGCACAAATTAATGTGTAATCATTTTCTATGAGAAATTATAGCTATTTCAATAAGCTAATTTTTATAATTAATACATTATAAAAATGCAAAAATATTTAATAATTTTCTATAACATTTTTATTATTTTATATTTAAATTTTTAAATTATCATCGAGCTTTTCATTATTAGACACAAAGGCTATTTTCTGTATAGTTTTATAATATTCTACTATTATAAAAATCACTAGTTATTTTAAATCAATAATAAATTATCATCAATTAATCAATTATTTTATGTATAAAACATCTTTACGTTAAAAATAAAATCCTAATATCAAATCAGTATTCAATGTATTTTTATAGTTTTATCTATCTATTTATTTTATCATTGTAGTTCTAGAATATAATAGAGTATATCGTCAGAGTATATTAAAGTTTAAATGGAGTTCACTACAAAATACTTTCAGCCATATTGGATTATTGGATTATTCATCGCTTTAATATGTATTATTTACACGTAAGATTTTCATTTTCCTCTCTTAAGTTCGAACAATTATTAAATATTCTAATTAACATACTAATATACTAACATACAACTAACTAACATTTAATTTAAATACTTTAGTTATCTCAGTATAGTGTATAGTTACTGGAAAAGAAGAGGAATTCCTTCACCAAAAACAACGTGGTTGTTGGGTTCATACGGGACAAGATGGAAAGAGGTACATTTCTTATTAATACTATAAAAGATTTCAAATTTACTTTTAAATTGTTAATTTAATACGTAATTTCATATAAAATATGTATTTTTAAGCCTCAAGGTTATATAGAATTGGAATGGTATAAGAAATATGGAAGAATATTTGGGTACGTTGTATCTTAATTTATAATTGATTTCGTTTTTCTTTTGTATTAAATTATCGCCATTATTTATATTCTCCAGTATTTACGAAGGATTAAATCCCATTCTGATGGTTTCTGAACCGGAATTAATTAAAAATATATTAATAAAAAACTTCAATAAAATGCCGAATCAAAGAGTTAGTAATTTTGTTATTTAATAATAAATTTTAATTTTGATTTCTAATTGTTTTTTTGAAAAAATTAATAATAATTAGCGGTGGAAATTTGGAGATCGAATTATCGATAATATGGTTATCACAATGGAAGATGAGGAATGGAGAAGAGTAAAATCTACTCTGACGCCAATATTTAGCATTGCTAAAATTAAAAAGGTAATCCAACTTAAAATTGTCGTCTAAATGATCTCATCGTACCGTTTAAAATGACTCAGTAAAATAATATTTTCTTTATCTCAATATTATCGAAATTATTGTTTTCGAATGTAATAAAATAAATATTAATAATACAATGAAATCTCGTTACTTCAAAATGTAAGGAATTATAAAATCCAGAGTTTTGAGTTATCGAGGTTTGCCTTAAAATTGCAAATTCCATATTCCATATTTGTTCACAGATAATAATCTATTGTATAGGCCTATATTTATTAACTTGTTTGAAAAAATTTATATAATGTGTACGAGTGATTAAAAGCAATTGGAAATCGATCATCGAAATGCGATAGAATATAGAATCGACGAAATGCTGTAACAAAGATAAAAATATATCGTAGAGAACGAAGAGCACTCTAACGTTTGGCGAATTCAAGTCGTCGATATTATGAGAAGAAATACCAATCAATAGAAGCAAAATGTTTCTGTTTTAAGCTGCTATTCTTGCTGCAGCATATTACTTCATTGACGAAATGTTTTTGGGATAGCAAACACATTTCGTTAATAAAGTGACTAAGGGAAAATGGGCTAGTCCCTTTGTCGCGTTATCTTTTTACTTGTTGCTACTCACTGAAGATTATCAGATTTCTGCATTCTCGCGTTCCTTTCCTTTAATTACAATATATTGAGAAATGTTTAATTTTCGCCGGTTTTCATGCCTTTTACCGTTTTGACTTACTCACAGATAAGTAAATTTAATGCACAGCATAGATTACAGGTTTAAAAAAATTGATAATTTCCTTTTCTACTCCATTTGAAATTGGCGGCGAGATTTTCGTCTTGTTGAAAACCCTTGGACTATATTTTATTCCGTTTTTACGCCAGTAGAGTTGGCCACGCTACGTCCATTTCTAAGCTATTTAGAACAAAAATGATTTATAGATTCATTGAAACTTCGGTTGATTTAAACATTATATTTGCAGAACATCACATGTTAAATGAAATCCTGTTTTAATTATACCAAAATAAAATTATTCCTTTACATTTTTTCGATAATGAACGAGGTTGCGCTGTAATTGCTTATGAAATTTTTATATAAACTTTATGAACTTTCCTAATTATCTTTATATTATTTTTAATTTCGAAATTATTTTTAGCTTATTCCAAAAATCAATGAATGTGTCAAAGCTCTGGAAGAAAATCTGTACGAAGTAGCTAAAGATGGTAAACCTGTTAACTGTACTCAGTAAGTTCTTTTATTTATAACAATAATTTATTAATAAATATTACAATAATAACTCGCAATACTAATACTTTATCGTGTTTTTATATAACAGTTAACATTTTTGAAATGATAAACAATGAATATCTTGTATATTTTCATATAGAATTTTACGTCTAAGAATTCAAAACTTTGTAATATTGCATCACAAGCACACGCACACACAGATACAAAAAATATGTGTTATAAGTTGTATAGCCTTTATTGCATATTGTAAAATAAATATGATTCACGCCGAATAGCGAAATGGTTAAGGCATCTGTCTACCGCTCTGATAGATTTGAGAATGAAATTCAGGCGAGTGACCCGAGAAAATTTGTGTGGGTGGCCGGGATTTGTCTTTTACCATCCGCCTATCTATTGTAGGCTGGTTTCTGTTAGGCTCATAATGGGATGGAAACACGATTAAAAAAGTCTTTTTTTAGTATCCGCAAGTAGAAAGGAGTTAAAAAGGAAACATAACTGCATTTTGCCATCGTTGTAATAAATTAAGAATAACAGACAATAAGGAAAAAATAAAGAATCTCGTCTTTTTGAGAGACGCGCGTTATCAAGCCGATGTTCTTTCCAATTATTGGTAGGAATCCATCAGTTGCAATATTAATCAATAATTCAATCATTTATTAACCTGAAAACCTCGCTACGGATTTCAAAAAAGAGTTGATGAAAGTTCTGAAGCCCAACTTCTTAGTACTTTCATTAACCCTTCTTTGAAATCTGCACTAGTTTTTTTATTTTTACCATTCATATCCTCTAACTTTTTAATTATTTGAAATTCATACCTCAAAGGAAGATAACCAGTTGAGCTATATCAGAAAACAGCATGAAAAACGTCTTGAAATGTGATGCTCTGAATTTTAAGATATCTTCAATATTTATTGGCATGTCATCAAATCTTCTACCCATAGTAAATCTCGACTAGGTAATTTTCGAAATAAACTTTTTTCAGGAAATAATACATTAACTACAGCTTCAAGGCTTTCGTTCACTATATCGCATTACTAAAGGGCTTCATACAATTTGACAGTATTTTGGAAACCAAATAACCGGCATCCACCGAAATGTCCGCCTCGGTAGTGGCTTCTTGAAGAGACTTAATTGGCTTACAAAACGTTTTTCAGATTCCTGCATCTTAACATTCCGCATCTGGCCTGAAAGATACCATATTTTAATTCATGCATACTTTGTATTGTGACATCGGTTGACATTACATTTTTCAGGACCATTGCAATCTCGAAACCCACCTACTGCTTAATTTGCATGATGAACCCAGTACTTTAGGCTTTTCCTCTCTTAGATCATGTCCAAATGTCTGGAAGTTCGGGGTGTAAAAATTTAAAAATGGTATATACAGAAAAAATTAAATACTTTATATATACAGTTAGTTTATAGATCAGGGCTTTATAGGTTATACTCATAATTATATGATACATATAATTTTTAAGAACTGTTAAGCAGACTATGAAATTTCATAATAAAAGATAAAAAGCTAATAAAGATTCTTTGGTTAGGCTAGTGATACGTTATGGGAATTTATTCTCGCTCGATGTCGCTAATATATTTCCGCGAACCTGGTACAGTACGTTTGTCTTTTTCATCATTCTTTTAAATTAACTTTGTAAAATAATAAATGAAATTTATGAATAATAAAATTTTTAAAAATTAATGAAAAAAGAATGATGTAAAAAGTTAGGTAACTAAGACAATTCTAAGGTACTTTTGAAAAATGACAGGGTTTTAGTATACTCGGAACCTACGTTGAGGAGTAACCATGATCTCAAAACCCTGAATATGCCGCTGCTCGAAAGCTGCTTGTTGCTCATGAGTCTTGACTGAACTACATTGATTAAAATCCGGTTATATGAAGCTTGTAATCGTATCGCCAACAGAGCAAAGATTAATATCAAATCCCTTTGTAATGATGAGGTTTAGTGTGTGGCATCGAACACGTTAAGAACTACATGGCAGAGTTCATTTTTGACCGTCCTTTATTTGGCCTCTTAAGGACTTGAAGTAGGCCTGTTTAAAAGAAGAAAATGTGATTCCTTCCATTTGACACTACTACAGCCGGATTGCCGAGCGGCTACGGTGGCACCTTACCGCTCTGGAAATCCTGGGTCGAAAATCCCTAGGAATTTTTCAGGGGAGTGGCCTGTCCGGATATCGGGCCTCATCTCTCACTACCTGGTCGCCGCACTGTGAGTCTGCTGAACCCATAATGGGATTGTTAAAATAAAGGCTCTTTTAGAACCCACAGGGCGAAACGACTTTTAAAAATCCAGCAATGAGTTACTTAACTTTTCCAGGCAACATTTAAGACTGGGTGTTTGGCGCCATATACTATGATGTTTTATTAAAAAACTTTTTATATTTTTATTTACTATAAAATAGTAAATGCTTGATTTTGAAGGTAGGAATAAGTTTGGGATTAAAGAATTGTAAATGCTATGGTTTTAAAGTTTGCTCGTCATTAAGTCTGACCTTACTCGAAATATCAGAGTCGATAGATACACTGGTCCTTGCGCTATGCTCTAAAGTTCAGTTAATGTCTCAGGTTGCTGATAGCTGGCATGAGAGTCGCTATTAAACAAGAACAAGTTTATATATTTGGTAGGAGGTAGTTTCCCCATTTTCAAGTATTTTTGTAACTTTCTCCTACTGTTCTGTCAAAAAATCTTATTCGTAATTACATTTTTTTAAATTTTATATCATGTATGAAGAAAGAAACAGTGAATTTGATTTATAAAAAAATTAATACCATGGTGATTTTAAATTACAAATGAGGATGTGGATAAATCGAGAATAGTTATATTTTCTATTTAATTTATTTAGATTTTAAATAGAGATATGTTTAAAACTGTTAAAACTAATATCTCAAATACTATAGTAGAGATAAAAACACACTTCTGTCATCGGAATGCAATCGTCTATCATTTTCATGTTACCAGTAACAGTGTGATAAGTCTCTGTTATCTCTACTATAGTATTTGAGATATTAGTTTCAACAATTTATAAGACAAGAAGCTTTCTTATAATGTTTAAAACTGTTATATTGCTACATATTGTGAATGATAGTTTTGTACATAATGTTCTGTGTATAAATATATCTGTTTAATAAATAGGCAATGGTAAAATAAGTAAATAAACTTGCATTTTACTGTTTTGTTTTATTACATATGTATGACAATTAGGAAAACTATTGCTTATCCTCTGATACATTTAAATAGTCATAGAAATTTAATTTCAGATAAAGACAAACTATTTTTTAAATAATTTATTAACTTTAACACTACATAAAGTGTGCTATACAATTTTACTTGATTTAGTATAGTGAGAAGTAGTATTTGGGATGAAACAGTTATGTATTTTTGACACTCACATTGGCTCTACATAGTTTGTAATTTACATAAAATTCTGCACTATCAAAAGTAGAATATGAATGAAGATTTATTGATGGCCTACTACACCTGTCATTTGTTTGTATAAGTTTAAAATATTACTAACATGTCTTTCTTTTAGCCTTCATGTCACCACTAATAACTATCACTGTCAATATCTAATAATACTGTCTGAACTCTTGCCATCCTACATTTACCTATTTTATTTGTCAACCTCAAACTCATCATCCTCCTATCATTTCTAAGTTATTATGTGTCTGTATATATGTTGAATATGTTGTCTGTATATATGTTGAATATGTTGTCTAAATAGTTGGAATTTCCTCTTTTTCTTTTAACAGTCTATATTTGAAATCTAAGAACTAAATTTACTGACTTTTAATCTCCCTCTCTAACCTGTTCCTAACTTTTTTGGCTCAATTTCAATTTCTCTTTATCTCATTAAATTAATAAACACAACATAAATTGTGAATAACATATAGCTCTTTTCTCACTACAATAATTTACCTAATATTAATAAATAAAAAAAAGGTATACAGGCTTAACTATAAATTTTTTGACTACGTTTTCTTTCCCTTAACAAAAACTCCCAAAAATATTTTAAAATATACACAAATTGTAAGGAAAAAACAAACAGTCTAATCAATTTAAAGTCTAAAATAGTGAAAGTGACAGAGTTAAGAGAAATATAAATATTAACGACATTTACGAATAAATAATGTTTAAAACCGGATTAAAATAGTATTTATAAGCAGTCCTTTAAAAAAGACTGTCCGACTTTAAAAGTAATATTCGAGTTAAAAACAAGAAAATTTTATATATTAAAAGAATTTCGAATGTTTACAGCTGACTCTCTCCCTATGCTCCAGCCAATCTTACCACTATACGCGATCGAAGTGGGAGAAATATTTATTATGCCAGTATCGTAGCATAACTGTAGCAAAGCAAGGACCATTTATCGACTCTGGTGATATGACACATACTCCCCTATATCTCCCCACCCCTCGATCTTTAACCATCAAAATTTAATAGCATTAATCCCCCTAATACACAAACCTCCCTGCAAAATTTCAGAAAATTTGACAAAAAATACAGGAGTTATTAAGCTTCAAACAGGTTGAACAAAAAGGTGCCCACCACACAAAATAACATTCGTACATACAGAAAAGAACCCCAATTGTTTTTTGTATTTCTCGACGTTTTAAGGTCCTAAGTCAAAAATGTAAAAATCTTAGGAGTGATTTTTTGACCGATCGCCATACTTTCCCTCTGTTATATGTAATAGACGGTAAAGTAAAAATTAATTCTTTTTAAAATTCTCATAGAACAAAGTTGATTATGTCTTTTCTACCAGATAAATAATAATTACTTTTGTGTTTTTTCTTCTAGACATTTTAACGTCTTTGTAATGGATTCAATTTCCAGATGCGCTTTCAATATGGTTATTGATAGTCGTGATTACGTTAAAAATCCTTTTGTGAATTCCATCTCCAATGTTTTTTCATCAGTTCCATGGAGACATTTGATGTTTGGTAAATAGACGAATTCAGTAGATAAACTTTGGCATCAGTAGCAATTCTTTCAATGCAGAGGTAATGATATAATATAAAAAAGAATTACTGAACGATTAGTGTGTTCATTTGCATTCAAACTGTCGAAAAAGCATCTCTTACAAGACCTCGCTAGTATTTTGAAAATGAATACAGTAGAGCGTCGTTTATCCGAATCATTTGGGGACCGGGGTTGTTCCGGAACTTGTTTTCGGATAACCGATTATGTACGAAAAAATACATTAACCTATTCCATCCTGAAATTTTTCTCCGTTGCGTGTCGCTTTGCGTTGAATTTTCGTCGATGTTAAGCCTAACGTAAACTTTTTAAAATAATAATCGTGGCTATTGTATCGTTAAAAATTATTTTTTTATTTTGTACAAACAAAAATAAATTGAAAAATATAAAAACAATAAAAAATTCTACTTCAGAAGTTAATTTAGTATCAACAACGTAAAATATTTGAGTAGCCCAAGACATAGCCAAAAATTGCAGCGCCACAGCACTAGCAGAAATTTAAATTTGCGGACTGGAAAGCTTTCGGTTAATTAATGTTTCGGTTGATAGACATTCGAATAATCTATTCTCTACTGTATTTAATATTCGAATCCTGCTCGTGAAACTTTTTAATTTTGTTAAAATAAGCAGGTTTACAACTCTTAAATTAAAAATTTTTATTTTTATACATTTAGGTTATAG